CTGATGATCTCCAACTGATCCGATCTCCTGTATGTGAGCATGTAGTCTTTTGTTCTTTGTAAATACCGCATGACCCGTTTGGCTGCTTTCCAATGATCCATTCCCGGGTTACTTAAATATCTCCCTAGCATCCCAACGATGTACGCTATATCCGGACGCGTACAAACTTGAGCATACATCAGACTCCCTATAGCTGAGGAATAAGGAATCTTCTGTATTTCTTTAATTTCCAAGTCATTTTTAGGGCACTGACTTAAGCTGAACTTGTCTCTTTTAGCCACGGGGGTATCACATGGTTTACAATCTTGTATGCCATATCTTTTAAGTACCTTTTCGATATAACTCTTTTGTGATAATTCAAGAATACCTCGAGAATGATCTCAGTGTATCTGAATTCCTAATACAAAAGAGGCATCACCAAGATCTTTCATCTCAAAATTCTTTGCTAGAAATCTCTTGGTTTCGTGCAATAAGTCTATATCGTTGCTGGCAAGCAATATGTCATCGACATATAAAATCAAAAAAATATACTTGCTCCCACTGAACTTGTGGTATATACAATCATCAACCAAATTCATCTCAAAACCAAATGAGATGATCACCTGATGAAACTTGTAATACCATTGACGAGATGCCTGTTTGAGTCCATAGATAGATTTCTTTAATTTACAAACCATTTGCTTTGCATCGTCCGATACAAAGTTTTCTGGTTGTACCATATAAATTATTTCATCAATGTCACCATTGAGAAACGCTGTCTCAACATCCATCTGATGTAGCTCAAGATCGAAATGCGCTACCAATGCCATTATAGTTCTAAAAGAGTCTTTCGAAGAAACCGGAGAGAAAGTCTCTTTATAATCGATGCCTTCTTTCTGTGTAAAGCCTTTTGCCACAAGACGAGCCTTATACCTCTCTACATCACCTTTCGAATCCCTCTTGGTCTTAAATATCCATTTGCAACCAATGGGTTTCGCACCTTCATGCAATGGAACGAGGTCCCATACGTTATTGTCCTTCATGAACTTTATCTCTTCATTCATAGCATCGAGCCACTTTTGAGAGTTAGAACTTTCCATGGCTTGACAGAAGTTGATCGGATCATCTTCCACCATTCCAATGTCAACTTCATGTTCTTGAAGAAATACGATGTAATCATTCGAAACCGCACTTCTCCTCTCTCTAGTGGATCTTCTTAATGGCATTGGTTCTTGAGGGTGTAGAGTTTGTTCTTCTGGAATAATTGTTGATCTTAAGAGGGAGGTATGACATTGTGTTGATCCAGAGTTGCTTCTTGAACAATATCGGGATAGAAACCTGATCATTGTCAATGGCAATTGGAGGAATTTCAACATATTCCTCCTCAAAGACAAAGCCTGTAACCCTTTCTCCCCCGGCAAACTCAACATCCTCAAAGAACCTAGCATTTCCTGTCTCGAAAATTGCCTTAGTTGTGGGATCATAAAACTTGTAACCCCTGGACCTTTCAGAATATCCAATGAAATAGCAACTGATGGTCGTTGCGTCCAGTTTCTTTTCATTTGGCTTATATGGCCTTGCCTCAGCTGGACACCCCCAAATATGTATATGCTTCAAACTAGGCTTCTTGCCCGTCCAAATCTCATATGGGGTTTTATCAGTGGCCTTAGTTGGAACTCTATTGAGTATATAAGCTGCAGTTTTTAATGCTTCACCCCAGAGAGATTCTGGTAAGGTAGAATGACTAATCATACTCCTCACCATGTCCTTAAGCGTTCTGTTTCATCTTTCAGCAAAACCATTCATAGTGGGTGAACCCGGCATAGTGTACTGTGGGACGATACCGCATTCCTCTAGGAATTTAGGAAACGGTCCTGGACGCTGTTCACCTGAACCGTCATATCTGCCATAGTATTTACCCCCATGGTCAGATCTAACGCTTTTAATCCTTTTGCCGAGTTGGTTCTCAACTTCAGCTTTATAGTTTTTGAACACATCCAGTGACTGT